GCACTTTAGACATCATAACACAGGATGCTATTATGTAGAAAGTTACAAAACGCGTTTACTAGGTGAATTCACTTTGAAAGTGTATTAAACAAAAACTGTACACATGCTTTCGAATTTATACAAATTGTAACCTTTAACTTTGTACAAAATACTTAATTGAATACAAACACAAAGAGTTATCGATGAATGTAATCACTTCCCTAACACCACTTAACGGTATAATTTCATAAACTACTACCTACAACTCATGATACCTATTACCGTTTACATAATATTAAATTAATTGTTAAACGTCTTATATCTCTCACAATCTCTCGGACAGAATAGCCCTCTTGAGAGTTGAGCCGTCGTCTGGCTGCCAGCATTATGCAACAATGACTCATTATTACCAAATATCGATCTACACTACACGTACCATAAATCTCTCAAGACGCCGCTGTTGAATCATCGCTGGCCTATTGTTTATTCGACACTTAGTCACGATAAGGAGATTTAATCGGTTCAGACGACGCATTACAAAAATTGCCTGACTGCCTAAGTTACGTAAAAATATACGCAAATATAGAAACTGTCAAGTTACTTACTGCAAGTGTCGTAATGTGTAACTTGAATGAGCCATTGGATTCGCCATCACTAATTTCAAACGCAAGTAGAAATCTAAGAATTTACTATCGTCACTATGAACGTCAATTTGAAATCAGCCGAGGATTCATGTTTCTCTGCTACATCGAAGCAAACCTTTTTTGGCTGGTAACGTAAATTGCAAATATTTTGCGAGTAACGCTATTATTAGTGCCATGTGATTGAGAAAATCTATTGCTTGAAACTGTGTTATTACTAAAGATTTCGAAATGTAATAAGTGCTTTTCTCTTACGGGGATCCAACCCACTTCATTGCTGGCCACCTGATCAACGAGACAGTTTTTATTCGAGAGCAATGACTTACCTGAAATATTGGTAACTAAGGCACGGTTCGTTGGGAAATGTAGGCCGTTTACTTCACCGATTTCAGCAAAGCAATCTTTCACTTTGAGACAATGTTAACAGAAAGCGAGGAAACTCCACGTAAAAAGTTCAATGACAAGCGCGGAAACTGCTAGAAAGGTTGTCGCTTAATGACGAACACCTAGCTGAGGGAATTAATAACACTGAGGACGACTTGTGAACAGATATACATCCTGTGAAACTCTGCGAAATATTAATGAATACTCAGAATTTTGAGAAATTTACGTCAAACGGGATTAAAGAACAGGAAAGGAGATTAAAGAACTCCCAAGTTCATAATATTTGTACAGAACCCAAACCCAAACGTTTCGAAATCGTTTGACAGCCTGAATTTCTAAACATGAAGGAAAAGTATGACAAATCACGATTATTACCTCGTGTTCGCGGTTCTAAAGAAATTACGAGTGACACGGTCATTGACGAGCGCTCGATTATAATTCACTTTGCAAATCAATGTAGCCGGATCTAAGCGCTCGCTTGACACAGCTAAATAATGCCTAATGATTAGCAGATGTTTACGAAATCACCGACAATTTGTATGCTTTGAATAATGATCCAAAAGTCATAACAAGAAAATTAAGAAGTTATGCAAAACTACAGACCTTTTGTGTATTTTGAACGTAACGAATATCCAAAATGCTTCTTTTGAAATAACTCCTAAATGACAAAACATTTACCCAAATAACGTCTGAGAGTCGAGGCAATAATTCAAAGAAATCACAACAGTATTGTGCCGAATGGGTCATCCGGAAAAATCACCAGTTTCCGTGCCGTGAAAAAAAAAGTCATTTTGGCAGACGGCGCGGAGTCTGCGCGGGAGCACTTTCTCTGCGCAGACGCAATTCGGCAGAGCGCCGTCATAGTCCTTCAGACGCGCGCGCGCGCCGCCCGCCCGTCACTGCTGCACATTTCCGGATATTTAATCAATTTTCACATTGTTATTTTACCGGCGGATTTGATCAGTGAAGCACGCGGGTCGCTCGATTGATATATTGCGTACATGTATGGATGTTCGATATCGAAAGCTACGAATTTATGTCATCTCCGTGTATTTCGGAAGTTCGCGAATGACGTTAGGGCCAATGCCCTCGAGCTGAAATCACGTGAAACGTTTCACTGGAAGGGTGTTGTTGTGTGGAGTGCTGCGTATAAGTGCATAGTGTTGTGGCGCTGGCGCTGGCAGGCAGTGACAATGACCACCACGCCTCGCCCTCACCTGTGACGTTTGTGGAAAGCAGCCAAGTCATGACACTCTGGTACACCGATATATTGGTGAGCATGCATTCAATGTTTGGATTTTATTTTAAGAAGTGTTGCATTTTTCTTCAGGAAGGTCATACATTGCCCGATATTTACGAAGCTCCTCATGTGCAACTATGATTTCCATAGCGCTTATTCTAAAAGAAGGACACAAGTTCTGTGTACAAAAAATAAGAAATAAACTTAATGGGAAAAGAAATTGAAGATGAAAGTGAGAGTATATTAACATTCAAATGGTCTAGCTAAATAATATTTATTATAGAATAAAGAATCATATGTATTATGTATAACACCTTGGTACCCACACATGAAGCAATAAAGACTTTGAATTTGAATTTGAAGATATTATCGACTCTTCGATTCGATCTCTAATCGCCTAGGCATCGTTTACCTACATTTTAATTTGCGCTCATGCGAAGGCGTCACAGACAGCGCGCCTCGCAATTACGATTATTGGAAGGTATAGGCAATTGACCTACAAGTAAAGTGATATGCTATTACGGGCGGAGGTGCCGCCGTGCCTGCATCTATCGGGTCAATTACTCGATACTTCGACATTCTTTCGTGTACTTTCTATATAATCACACTCCCCAGCGCTGTCAGGACTAGCCAACGAGCTTCCTCATTAGCTCCCCTGTTAATTGTTTATTAGCATCTCTCGTGAACTGCAACTAGTTACGTCACCGTACCACTTCTGACAAGCCGTTGACCCACTAATTGAGTTTGATGTGAATAGGTTACAATCGCTAAATGTTGTCGTCGGTGTCGGACAGACGAACATTATTTTTTACTTGAGTGTTACATGTACGGAAATCGGTTAATGTGGGTCACGCTCAATAAATCATCGATTCTTATCGCGGACAGACAGTTTTCAAGACTATTGGAAGCACGATCGTTTTCTCACATAAACCGAAATTGAGTATAATAGCGTACGATCACGATAAGCTAAATGGCGCTGCTGTAAAATAAATACATTGTATTTTAAATGGAGTCGTGCTCATTTTTCGGGCTGCTTCTTCAAGTAAATGTCGCTATGTTTTGGTTAAAGGTTAAGAGGTTGGATGTCAGAAATAAATTATTTGCACATGTTTTTCCGTGAAATATGAATACTAACAATGGTTAAAACCATCTGTCTCCTACGTAAAGTTTATTTGACTGAAACATAAACAAATGCGGTATAATTAATCATGCAACTCAAGCCGATGAAATATAACAAATGTGTACTGAGATGTAACATCGTGAAGACGCTGAGTATTGTCTTAACAAAAGTACAAGGCCGCCACAACTCATTTCAGATCCTAATCTAAATACGGTTAAGTAGATGGTAATCTATGGCGCAGCGTGACAAGGGCGTTGTATCGCGTGCCGTGACAATGTGGCACGCACTCGCGGAAGACGCGACCGACTTCTTACTTTCGATTTCCTCCGAGTAACAAGCGGCTGCCACGGGCGGGTAAACAAACAAACACGACGCCCAACAAAACCTATTCACCACCGCTATATAGGCAACGCTAGAGAAATGTTCTGCCTTGTTCGCGACCTACTTTACTTGCGTTTGTCTCAGTGGAAACCGTTACTATTCAAAACGGTTTAACTTTTTTTACTCACTCCGTAACCAATCAACTTTTGGCATTCGCATTAATTACCAATCTATTTTCAACTAGCCTAAAATATCAGCTAGCGAACATATTGTTGTCTGAAATACATTTAAGTTTTGCGCACTCTTGGAATCCTCGGTTTGTGAGATATCGTGTCTTGTAAGAGTTATTGCAGTGTAGTGTTATATACGAATCATTTTGGCAGATGAATTCAGAACCGTAAAAAACGAGCTGTTATTTCGGTGATGGCGCGGTTTTTTCATGCGATCATTACATGGTGGTGTGGTGCGCGTGTCCGGCGCCAATACAACAACTAGGTACACTGCAGAAGGCCCATTCATTACATGCAACGAGAAAATGTTCTACAGCTACAGTATCCATGTCACCATTAACATCGATACAGGCTTGTGTTCGCAATACCCACGGACCACATTTCGGATAGTGTGACTCATACTATGAAACACCTATAATTAAGGGGAGGGGTGAAAGCTAGACAAGACGCCTCCACTTTAGTTCCGTGAGCACTGTCGCCTCGCTGTACCTACACAACTAGTTTTTCGGAATGTTCAGTAATTACAATAATTTTGATAACTGCCAGGCACGGTTCGATTACACGGTATGACTTCCTTTACTTAATAGATGGCCATGAAAACGTTTACTATCAATTATGTCGCTTTCGTTCTTCGAAATTCTAACATGGGTTTCTACTTTTTAATGTTAGTTACACTACTCATGCAGCTCCTCTGCGTGTGCAGATGGCCTGGAGCCAAGACATTGAACACATACGCGTAAATAAGCTGGTAACTAATCTATTGTTACTCTTTCGTCGGCGTCATCGGTCCATCGGCGCACGTTATTGCCACAGCACTGCTGATAATGTAAACGTTCTAAAGAAAAGCTATTTCTCAATTATTTGTAAAACAATGTCTGGACGTCATGTGTAGGGTTTATTGTTGTGCCATTTGAACACGTTGTTTAATGATTAAAACTCTTAGTATGATTTAAAAGACAATATTTTGCTTTTCCAGCAATCCCTGTATCTACTTTTCACCAGAAAAATCTTTCTAAATATTCAGAAAAAATTAACAACACAATTTCATAGACATCTATTCTAACCTCTATTTCTCCTTTTTACAGAGCCCCGGCGCGGTTAGCGGCGGCGGCACGGAGGCGCAGCCAGGCTCCAGGGACGCCCTGGACGTGCGCTACTCACTGGCAGCCCTCGCCGACGACTACACCAAGAGGAAGCACGTGGTCCGGGTCACCACCGCTGCCGGCGCAGAGCTATTACTACAGGTATGTAGAAAATATAAAAAGAATAAAGCTGTGTAATAAAAATTGACCTTCCTACATAATAAGATGGGATATGTCCTATAACTGCGACCAACTACATAATTTTCGGTGACTTAACTTCTATCCCCAAGACAAAAACAATACTCTTTATATTTTTAAATACTTATAAACATAAATCAATAATACTTTACAACGGAAACTCACGCCATATTGATACAATCACGAAAGGATCCAATGCAGAATTTATGGAGCAAAAAATATATAAATTCAAGTACTTGCTGCATATAAATTGTGTTGTATTATAAATCATTCTATTTTAGACGTTCGTTAACCTTATCTGCCATGAAACGTAAGAATAAAAATACAACAACGCTTGTGTTGTTACATTTTCTAACACACAATGGGAGGCAGGTTGCCAATGTACGTAATTTTGGCAAATTCTTGCATGCTAGAATGTTTCAATTATAATTAGCGACTACGGCATTTTGTTACAATTTACACAGACATCGCTTCCTCTATGTAAATCGTTGCCATTCAGTCGCGTCGCGCTATCAATAAACAATTATTATGCTAATACACGAGTTATAGCTAACTTATCACATGGTTGGAAGAAAGTTAAGACATAGCAATGGAATTGTTTTACATTCACAAGTGAATAGATTGTATTTAAAAGGCTTATGGAACTGTTGATATTGTGGGAATAGAATATATGTAATAAAAGTGAAAATCGACCATAGAGCATACCTCCAGCTAGTTAAAATCATAAGATCCACATAGTGAACCCTGTATGGTTATTTGCAAAGAGCTGGAGAGCTCGAGTCCAATGGATGGATGCATTTGGAGAGAAAATTGGCCATACTTTGTGTAGTTTTCGTGAGAAAATTATAAAAATTAAAATACTATTTACTTCCTTTCAGGCTGAAGGTGCAGCAGACGCGCAGCGCTGGCTAGCAGCACTCCGGCGTCACTCGGCGGAGCCCCCGCCGGCCGAGCCAGCGCCCGCACAGCCCGCACCCGCGCCCGCACCACTACCCGCACCCGACTGCCCCTCCCCACTCCCGCCACAACGCAGCAAGAAGATCGGCAGGAATAGGTCTCCCACTGGTGAGCTAACAATTCAATATAAGTAAAACAAAGGCAGGTTTTTAACCCAAATGCTGCACAATTAGATTAAACATTTACAAAAGTACAAATCTCTTAATCTATAATCTTGACGAAAGAGAATTAACAAACACAGTTCCCACAGGCCCACCGACGCCAACTTTACCATCATCTCCGAAGAACAAGACGTGGAAGGGCCGCATGGCGAAGCAGTTGCGCCGCATGCACGGCGGCGCGGCGGCCGCAGCGGCCCCGGCCGCGGGCTGGCTGGGCGCGCCGCTCGAGCGCTGCCCGCACGATCCCGACCACCCATTAGTGCCACGCGCTGTGACCTTACCTGCACATGCTGTTGAGGTAAACACCACCATATTATTACTAGTATACAGTAACTATTCAGGCAACTTAATTCTAACTTTTAATGTCCAACTTCCTAGCTGGAGTGAGAGTTGGCTACTAGAGATTGTTGTTTGATACACGCTCAATACAAAAGGAGCAAGATTTTAACTCTACCAGTCAAATCTGCTGACTATAAGTCTCCAATGTCCGAATTCGGACATAATGGACAGTATTTAACTCTCCGAATAACTAAACAGAGCATTACCATAAATGACTACCTACTAATATAGAACAGAACCCATCTGAAGTGTACCATTCCCTTCAACACTCCTAACCATATCATTATCTTCTAGGCATACGGTCTCCGCACAGTAGGAGTATACCGAGTGCCAGGCAATGCAGCGGGAGTAGCAGCCCTGGCGGCAGCACTAGACCGCGGCGAGCCCCCGCCCGCGGCGGACGCGCGGTGGGCCGACGTGCACGTGGCGTCCAGCCTGCTCAAGGCGTACCTACGGAGGCTGCCTGACCCACTGCTCACTGCTGATCTGTATCCCGCCTTTATTGGTAAGTTGCTATCTTAAATGTAAATGTCTTTTAGGCCCACAACGGTTGGTAAAATCCACATATTTAATGAAAACTTTTTGATTCACCAGTTATGTTAGGAGGTTCACGTAAATAAGTCTCTTATAAAAAAAATTACCATATCTAAAATTGAACTTAAAATCCATCTGTGTAGATGGACCTGACGCTACGATACATTCAAATTTCCACCACCTGATTTCCACCTCCAGAGACCAGAGGTGAATGCCTTAAAGCACTGAATGCTAAGGAATGGAAATACCCACTCGGTGTTGCCATTATACACAACTGTCCCGCACTTCTGGGATATTCATTAATATGTAGCAATCGTGACATCCGTGTTTAATAAACGAAGTCGACCCTGTTTGACTAATAACGACTACTGTCACAAGTTTATAAGAATATATTCTAAAAGACTGCCTTATTGTTTGAATTACTGTTGAGGGAGGGGTCTTAGATTACACTTCTAGTTTTCTTCACTTGGGGTTAGAAAAGAGAAGAAATAATCTAACATTGTTTCCGTATGTCCAGCTGCCGACCGGTCGCCAGAAAGAGCGCGGGAGCTACGGCGTCTAGTCCACGCACTGCCCGACGCACACTACGAAACACTCAAGTACCTGATCCAACATTTGCGCAAAGTTGTTGCGCATTCCGCCTACAACAAAATGGAGGCGAGAAACTTGGCCATCGTTTTTGGACCAACGTTGGTCCGCGCGGCCAGCGACGACATGTTGGCCATGGTCAACGATATGTCCAGCCAATGTCGCATCATCGAGTCTTTCCTCACACATGTAAGTACCAAAACGAATTGATGAACGCAGACAACGTCTTTGTCTCAAAAATCTTATGGCTGTAATAAAATGATTTTCCTTCTTTGCAGTACGATTGGTATTTCGAGGAAGAAGAGGGTGAACCCCCAGTAGATCCCCCCACCAGCGCGGAGGAACTGTCCCCCGCGCCAGCGCCCTCTCGAGACCTGTTAATACACAACGTTAAGAAGATTGAAGGTAACTATTTGGCATTTGAAAGTCTGCATCACTAAGTCACAATCATGCATGCCTGCAAACACAACTCTCAACCTTATTTCCCGTTCATTAGCATCTATTTTGCCCAAGCCAGTATCCCGCGCGAACAACTAATAATACCATTAAAAGTAGCTTTCCATATTCCAGGCAAGGACGTGTCGACGCGAGACATAGTGTCCTCTATAATATCGGCGGCTAACCGCAAGATCCAGCGCAAGCCGCGCTCCAAACCGGAGAAGAAGTTGGACGATAAGCGATCGGACGTGTCGCCGGGTGGCTCGCCGCCTAGCTCGCCGCTCACCTCGCCGCCACACCACCTCACCACCTCGCTGGCGGACTACGACGGCCTCAACCACAAGTACAGCAGGACGCAGGATGGCAATAAGTAAGGATACACTTACATACCCACACTATGTGTACTCACCCTCACAGAGTATGTAAGTAAACCACTACAACTTACATTGTCAATGTTTCAGAATTGAACTGGAGTCAATGCAAGCGCTGGGCCGCGGTCGTCAAGAACTCTCGCGGCATACTCACGCGCTCACCAACTTCTCTATAGATGGTGAGTTTACATTATATTCAAACTTCCTGAAGGCGACCAAACTTGCCTCCGAGCTTTTGTTTCGGCCCAGGGACTAGAAATGTTATAATTTAATGTCAATTTATAATCGTGTACAATAAAGGTGTCCGCTATTTGCCCCACTAGGTGTCCAGTACTGACGTCAGAGAGTAGACACACCAATCCCTTTCTTTTGTCCACATTACAAGGTAGAGGAATGTGAGCGTGCGTGTTGCAATGTGTGTCCGCGCCGGCGACCTAACACTCGGTACTACTGCCCACCCTGTACTCGGCCGGCGGGCGTACTGCAGTACTCGGCCGGCCGGACGTACTGCAGTACTCGGCCGGCCGTATACAGTACAGCGTGGGCGCCGTAGCGATGTAACTAACAACGCTTCAAGTCGGCGGCTGTTGACGGCACGGCTTTAATATGCTCGTGCATCGATGTAGTGGTAGGCCGGTGTGACCATCCACCACATCACATGTACATACCGACATCATCCATCCATCATCAGCTCAATGGTCACCTGACGACACAACCACTCTCTAACACGCTTCCGTCTGTGCCTAACCCCCGCCCCCAGCCCGACGCGCACTAATACTGTAACATGTTGTCGCAGGAACCGGAGACTTGGTGTCGTCTCTGACCAGCACGTTCGACCAGAAGTTGCGGACGCTGAACAACTCGTCCCCGCTCGACGACGGCAGCATTCCCTACGCCGACGAGTGCCAGGACGAGACCGAGGAGGGCAAGTCCACCGCCAGCTCCCCGTCAGAGGGCGCCAGCGAGAGAGAGGAGCGACTGTCCCCCGCCGCGCGCGCGCACGAACTCAAGGCAGCCTGGCTCGCGCGGGACCACCGCCACTCCTCCTCCTCCAGCGCCGACGAGCCCGAACGCGCCTGGCCGCGCCGCCACGCGCGTGATGATCCCGACGACTCGGAGAAGGAAAACTGCCCACGACGGGACGAGCCCGACTCTGCCGAGCCGGCCACCGAACCAGCACCCCGCGATAACAAGCGCAACAGTGCTGCACTGGAAGCCGTACCAGCCTCACGGCCCGCTGAAGAAGAGGGCGCCAAGCTAAAGCGCTCGGCGTCACTATCCCGCGAAGCAGGAGCGCGCGTGCTGCGGTCGGAGAGCCTGAACTGTCGCGAGACGGGCGCGCGGCCCGAGCGCCGCGACCTGCCCGCCGTGCGCCGCCGGGACGCCGCCGGCGCCTGGCGCTCCACCAAACTCAAGCGCAAGAACGGCATGCCCGAGCGAGGCATCAAGCGGCGCCACACGGTGGGCGGCACCAAAGACTTCGACAAGGACGGCTGGTCGGCGCGCCACACGCGCACGTCGTCGCCCGACCTGTCGTCGGACGTGACGTCAGACCTGGCGGCGGAGCTGCCGAGCGTGTGGCCGTCCCCGCTGGTGCCGCCGCCGCGGCCGCCGCTGGAGTCGCACGTGTGACGTCACACGTGCTCGGTCTAGACGCGCGCCGTCGCGACCGTGGCCGGACTTGGAATGAGGTGCAGTGGACATTCCCTACGGATACGAAGTGTCGCGGCCTGGCAGTGACCGCGACCGACCCTAGGATCGACTATGAAAAGTACACGTCTTTAGTTTACGACCCTTCCCGGTGCCTATCTGTTCGACTGGTGCTGACTTGATATAGTTTTCTTTTGTGCTGACGCAGAACGAACCTTCTTATGAATTAGTTTGAATTATATAACAAAACGAACATAGTATTCTACTATTCTAAATCGTCTAACAGAAGTCTGATTTACATTTATCCATTACCACGTTGATACTAACAGTTCGAAACTTCATTTCGAGAGAGGCTATTATTTGATTCGATTCAATTGACTGAATAGATTAGGTCACAAATATCTATCTATATTGTATAATATTACGAATGATTATAATACTCAGATTCGTTTACTTCATTAGCATGTTGAGAATTTTAAATTCCATGCATATTACAAGATGAAAATAATTTTATTATCTCTAACTGAGACGTAGGTTATAGTTATAATATTATATCTATAAATAAAAAGTGATTCAAATGAAAATTATGAATTCAGTAGTGCAATACATTTTAAAAGCGTGGACTAGATGGAAACAATCGGTAAAACATGAATTAAATCTATTAGTGCAAGTCTTAACGAACTTAGCTCACTAAATAATGCCAAAGAATGTTATGAAACTGACATAGTAACAGAACGCATGCGCGGAGCGTATCAGAGTGAAGGAACGAATCGGTGAACGGAATGCAAGGATTAAGATGGTGTCGCCACTACGACACACGGACTATAAGATCAAGGAAACAATGTCGCACTATACTTTTATTATGAAATACTGGTACTGAATGAGTACCGCGGCCGAGAGCCTTCCACAAATCTACATTATTTGTTTGTAGTGTAACTCCCTTTGTAGATTTACAACTACTTTTTACGGAGTTACTGTGGAACTGTGACGTTTATGAGTGCAAAACTAAATGCATAATACATTAAATTAGTGCTACTAGTATGTAGTTAGAGCAGACAGAAAGTTTATTAGCTATGGTGCCTGCGGGCTTAATATTTAACTCGTATGATAAGTGATGGGATGTACCGGCGGTGCACGACATTCTGACCACACTACTACAACACCACTTAGATGTAAGGCGTATACATAAGGATATATCGTAGGTTCTGGACTTTCATAATAGTGTTTATTGAATGAATTATTAAAACAAGCATACATCACCTACTTGCCTTCGCAATAGTTTTAGCTGATTCGAATTTTATGCACAATTCTCAATTGTAATGTTTATAGATAACTTGTATGAATTAAAGTTACCTTGTGTCATCTATTGACAACAAATTATGAGAGTACGGCGATGATTAATTAGATTATATTGTCAGAATTTTGTAGATTGTAAACGCTTTTATTTCAATTACAAAATATGATCGAGGTGTTTAAATTGTAAATAATGAATGCAATACCTAATTATGTATAATGTTAAAGATATCCGCTATAATGGTAACAATAGTAAGATATGTACGTGTGTGCCACATCGGCCGAGTAACTGCGCGACTAACAGACGTAAACACTACATTACAGTGATAATAATACAAGTGATCCCTCTTAGCTTTGTAAAAATTGTACATTTCTTTTATCATTAATTTATATTAAATTTGTTATCGTAGCTTTGTTGAATGCAATTATTTTTTATTGTTTTGTTTATCAAAGAAGTATTTTAGGCTAAATTCAATTGTTATTTATTTGTGAGAGATGTAAAACGTGATTCGGCACAATTTCATTTTGGAATAGAAAATCTTGTAAATATTTTCGTCGGCTAAATAATGTTTTAGACTTTCGTTCTTTAACTTTTAAAATTTTATACCATCTTTTACGTTAAGACGATCTCAAGTTTGTTGAATGTTTGCAAAGCGTTCCTTTTAAAGTTTTATTTGTAAATATATCATTTAATGTAGGAACAGTGAATTTACTAATTTTACTGAATCATATTGTATGTAGACGGTAGGTGGCAGTAGTGAGCCGCTCGTTTCACAATAAAAGACATGTTTCAGCCGGGCCGGCTCGCCAGTGTCTGCTTGCAACAGATTTGTATTCAAATAATCTATTCATGTTCTTCGTGTAATCAGCTATGGAATTCAAATAAACACCTTTAAAGACATTTGCAAATATGGATGAATCCACATTTTCAATATTTGTCATTGTGTATATTTTGGAGCAATGGAAATAAAATATTGAATCAATTTAATACTGTTTTTGTTTAATCCTTATTCAACGTACAAGAGACCCTAAAAACGCACCTGACATATTCAGATACACAATTCCTAATCCTACAAAAGGATCATCATCGGCGTGGAGTAAGTATGAAAGTATTTTCAATAAAAAAACAGCTTGAGTGACGAAAACTGAATGAGGCATTAGTATAACCCTTTCATCCTTCGTCCTATAGGGAATTCGCTCGTGTCACGCAAATGGACGTTCAATATTTGACGCCATCTGTGATTGGACAAAATACCTCCTTCTACTTTTGCGTCATCTGGTGAGCAATAATAGGGAAGCCCTATCGGGTCCACGTCCAAACTTACAATAATCGTAGGTATTGACACGTCCCGTCCACCCACTGAATAGGGTAGTTGACATTATGAAAATTAAAAAAATAATTAGTCCGTCAGTTAGATAATGAAAAAATATTATACACATATTTGTTTATTCTGTCGTATAAGAAAACAATACTTAGATAAAACGGAGTTAAGTTTTTTTTTTTTAAGGGGGGAAAATCATCGAATGACTGCTGCCGCCTGGGTGAGGCGGAAGGGAGTGTCACTCTTACTGACTAAAAACCACCCCGTTCCTTCTCCTGCACGTCGAGCCGGAGCCCCGGTTACCCGTAGGTTCTCCGCGGCAAACGGAGTTAAGTTTAGGAGTGTCGCGGAGAACCTAACGGGTTACCGGGGCTCCGGCTCGAAGCGCAAGAGAAGGAACGGGGTGGTTTTTAGTTAGTAAGTCTTTTTTTTAATGGGGGAAAATCATCGAATGACTGTTCCCTACACTCTCCCTCCCGCCTAACCTAGGCGGGAGAAGTCAAGCATTCGTTGATTTCCCCCCTTAAAAAAAAGTTTAGGAGTGAGTTAGATAACGGCGATCAGGAATTTAATTTAAAAAAGATTTATTTATTACAAGGTGTTTACTTAACGATTTATCCTACAAGACTAACATACAATTAAATTATATTAATAAAATAACATAACGCTAAATATGCACTTTAACTTCTACTCGTATGCATACCTACATATGGTATGCAATTTGATCGGCTTCATCAGCAATCGGTTTAGTGGTGGTACGGGCTGATCGATTGCTTAATTAGTGACGTCACACAGACGGACATTAAAATAAAATTTAGGACACTACCCTATTGTACACACGGCCACACATCAATCTATACAAAACCAGTTTATCCTGGTGTCGCGTCGCGTCATCTTTCCGCACATTTAACGTTCAGTTTATACTGGTTATGTAAAGCTCGATGTGTAGCCGTGTGTCCCACTGATGGGAAAATAAAACACAATCCCAGATTTGCTAAAAAAATAAGATATGTCGGGGGCGTCTAAACGGGCTATATTTTACGACAATTTGTGGCTGCAATTATTGGCAAACATTGCCCAGCCATCAAAAAAACATTTTAGTTCATTTTATGGCTGAACAATCATTTGCAGACAACATGTTGCAATATGGCTGCAATAGTATGGCCTTTAATTCAGAACCCTTTAATGAGCCACACAATCCAGCAACAATGGCCGACAAAATGACGCTCATCGCAGCCGCTTCGTTTCGCTTACATTTGGCAAAAAAACGAAGAAAAATGACACGAATTTGAATCCTCCCTACCTATGTAGGCGTAACACTTTGGATTCCGTAGACATGGAATTAATGCTGGATAAATTCTTATTTAGAAATTTTACAAGAATGTCTAAGAGCGACTTCGAATTTCTCGTGAACAGAATTGGACCAAACATACAAAGGCAAGATACAAACATGAGAAATGCAATACCTGTGACTACAAGATTAGCAATAACTCTACGGTATTTAGCGACTGGACATTCTTTCAAGAGTTTGATGTACCTTTTCAGAGTGTCCGCTTATTCAATTTCAACTATTGTCCTAGAGGTTTGTAAAGCTTTAATAGAAGGCTTGAAAGGAAAAGGGACGCGCATATACAGTAAAACAGAACTGCAATATAGATGGCTCAGATATATTGCAGTATTATCGACTGCGAGGCGATCGTTCGGCCACACGCCGGCAACACATAAAACATTTTGACATACCAAAAAATATGTGGCTATAATGCCGGGACATCCTTAAAATATTGCATAATGTTGGCTGATATTGCTAGCAATGTTGCCGGCCACAGTATTGCAGCCACAAATTGTCGTAAAATATTGCCCGTTTAGACGCCCCTTTAACAACACTTCTTTGAATCATCTCAGTGGCCGCATGGATCGCGTTAAAATGTTGTGTGCCAATGAGGCGACCAAATATACGTCATTTTTGTTCAAAGGAAGGACCTCATAACTCATTGGAGTTTATTAAAATACCTAGGAAATAGTAATGAATGAAAGGAGATCATTTGGGCACCATATACATTATTGGGCCTTTTCTGAAATACCGGCCAACGAAAAAAATTGTACATATCGTTAGAAGTAGTCATTTGGAGTAATAGTTAATATGGCGTAAAAGTTGCGAAGGATCCAAGGTGAAAAAGTTGTACCACTTCGAAGATTCATCATTTCATACATTTAATGTTTTCTAAAGGAGCTAGGAAATGGTAAATATAGATAGGCAGTGGAGTTTCGCCCCGGCGATGTGCCTCCGCGCGCAGAGAGAACGCGCGCGAGCACCTTCGCCTCTAGATCTCATGGCGGTAATCCAGCAAGGAGGTTCGCCGCCTCCCCGGAGATCGTGCGGTATCCGCTGGATCGCCATGACCCTCTGTGACATGAGCAGCGCCCGAGCGGGCCGCCGTATTAGGTTCGGCACACACACATGGGCGCCGTAGAGGGCCATGAACCTCACGACCCCGGCGTATAACCTACGGCAGCAATTGTGATGATAATGCGAAAATATTTCGCTGTCGTTTTTTTTTTGTTGGAATATAGTATCTTCAAATAATTTTTTCGTTTCGGCAAAAGGAGGGACACCCAGACCGTTACTGACTAAAAAGCACCTCGTTCCAACCCCTACTACTCCGAGCCGGGGCTTCGGTATCTATATGACGATATACCCTCGACACCTGACAGTTGTAGTCTTCTAATTATCATTTAACGCATTCAGTGCCCATGACGCGTCTGTGCGTTTTGTGACACGACGCTATGTGCCCGGGACTCAAATATGCGTTCTATTCATTTGACCCTTTTTTTACCTGCTGCCCGTCGACGCGTCTGAGGGTCTATTGTTTCGAAACCCATATTTACACATATGTACTTCCTTATCTGATTTCTTTGATAAAGGTCATTACACACTACATACGAATTATAATAAAAAAACTTATTCTACTACTACCAATGCAATAATCAACAAATTTTGTTTAGCCGTTTCGAAATATAAATATAGAACAATTTAGAAAAAATATAATTTATCTTTTTTATCCACGTAAGACTACGATCACCGTGGGTGGTATTTTTTTTTCAATGTTATCTCGATTATCTCATCTTTTTCCAAGAAACCTAAACTTTCATATGACTCGTACCTACATACGCACAATAGAATCACATTAGTTTGCTGATAACGGCAATACAATGCACGGCGGTGCCTTTGAAGATTTTAAATACCAAGAGAGCTAAAGCCAAAATCTACCTAGATACCTAATTGTTTTTCCAAGAAACCTAATATTTCATATGACTCTTATCTACATACGCACAATAGAATCACATTAGTTTGCTGATAACGGCAATACAATGCACGGCGGTGCCTTTGAAGATTTTAAATACCACGAGAGCTAAAACCAAAATCTACCTAGATACCTAATTGTTTTTCCAAGAAACCTAAACTTATAATATACCTTTTCCTAAGTATAACAAAAGCTTTTCTAAAAACGTCATTAAAATCGGTTCAATCAATCGCGAGACAATCGCGTACAAACATACATACAGGTCAAACTAAGAAACTAAATTTTTTGAAGTCTGAAAGATTGGATAAATTTTTCAATTTCTCTACATTAATTATCTTTTGGAATCATAAATTCCATTGCAGTGTGTCATCACCCTAACTTTTATCTACAGATACATAATATTCTATCGTATTTCTGTAAGTATATAACAAACGCACAGACGCGTCGCGGGCACCCGCCGAGAGTCGAACGGACGCATATACGAGTTTCGGGCACACGGTGAGAGCCGTAAGAACGCGTATATGAGTTTCCGGCACACGAAAAGGGCAAACATTGAACGCAATAGTGCGTGCGGGGCACTGTAGAATGTCTTATAATTCGGGCACTGGAGAAAATCCACTGGGCAGTGAATGCGTTAAGGTTACGATTTTATCTTCTGAACCTTATACCGTTAAACATATGTCCTAATACCGTGCAAAAGCTAAACTCACATACCATACTATAGTCATGGTGTCAGATCAAAGCCCTATATTGTCCGTTATAATCGAGAATAGCTAGTCTTCTATGAAGTGTTGGATCAAGGTCACCCCACATTTAAATAGCATGGCTCCAACTCAGCCTGCGTTAACGCATGCGTTAAGTTGTCATTCAAATATGAATTTTAAATCGCATGTCGTATGATACATTTCGTTACGTCTATACAAAAAGCCGACGGTGGGTGGTCAGTGCGCGGTCCACTCGAGTCGACATCGGCGCGAAACAACGTCGCATCGTAGGTAGGTATTATTAAAACCTTTCACCTTTTAACAATACCTTTGGTGTTGTTGCCGGAGCTGATTTTAAATGTGGGAAGACCATCAGCTGCAATGATCTCACATAGTAGAAATTTTTGACTCAATATGGCTAGATTGAATACGGAATCAATCTCGTATTGCGAAAAGATCCTGTCGATTGCCGACTGCCTCGTTAGTCGAGTGGTCGCAAGTGCGACTGCTGTTCAGATTGGGTGTTGGGTTTGATTACCGGGTCAGGCAGTTTAAAAAACTCAGTAGTAGCACGGAGTCTGGAATTGTGCCCGGTATAGGCGGTATATGACAATAGGCTCACCCCCTATTACATAAGACTCATACCATAAATAGTGAAAACTGGGTGTTACATTGTAGTGGCATTTAAGTGCCGTCGTAATGTACACCTCTACCTACCCCTTCGGAGATAACAGATATATTTCGAGTTTTGTTAAGTGTTTTGATCTTTTGACTGACTCTTTCTCTGTCCCGCTCTGTACATCACGGTTTGTTTGTTTGTTTGTGTCATAGAAATTTATTTGGTAGGTAGTTGGGGTTTAAAATAACAACACATTTGTGACATTTTAATAATATGTATTACATTCATTTAATCATAACATCAATACATAACTTTTGTTACTATTATGGAATAAAATATAATAAATAATTAAAACTTTACATACAATCTCGGAAAATTAGAAAGTTACATTGTACCAATAAAATTCCATTTTTTTTTTCAATTTTTATTATTTATTTGGCTAAAATTACTAAATATTGTTATTTCGATAATGCAATCCAATATAATAATTTGATAATTTTGTCAACACAGCAACTAATACATAAAACGTGCTTAACGCTACTCCATAACTCGATCCTCATCGTAACCTTACAGAATCACACACTTTGAACTTTTCAGTCATGTCGTCGTCCCTAACTAATATAACAGATTAAATACTTAACACTGACAACTACGCCCGGTACGACCGGAGATCGATACAATCACAAGAAACATCAATATTATTTGAACTATCGACACCAAATGACACGTAACTTAGTTGAAGAGTTGAAATATCATCGTTCCACGCGTCGAGAGCATACTCTCGCGTCCAGTGCATTGTCATGTAATTATATTCGACGGAGCCTGAACTCATGTTGCATCTCTCGACAAGTACACGATAGCTTAGTCATACTATAGTTTCAAAAACAGCTATTGAGTATACATGTATTTTATTTAGTAAAACGAACATCAATTGTCTCCTACGTTGAGTAAAACTGTCTATCAAGCTCTACAAATACAATTGGCAATACTTATCCCCTCCACTGTCGACGCAAAATTTCGCAATATGGCGGATATGTTAACGTCATCGTGGGTGGGCTCTCGCGAAATCGCCGCGGCCCATTAAAATGACGATATCTCCAAAATATTGTATGAAAGATGTATATTAAGTTTATGTATTCATAATCTGTAGTTTATAGGCTACATCGTGAGTATAATTCATGATGATTTTACCAAATGATATATTGTTAATTCTAAGGCAAAAGATGGAGAAAGTGGAGAAAGTCGTTGTAAGAAAATATTTTGCATGGTATTAAAAAATTAATCAATTTTCTCAAATTACTTTTATTTTATTTACAAAAAAATATACTGTTGAATCATAATCCATTAAAAAAAACACGCTTTCATACTGTTTGTTTACACTACAAGCGTAACAATCACATGCGTCGTTTCTGCTACCTGAGCGCAACACAAAAAAAGGGTCATGTTTATACTTCAATTCTGAGAACACTGTGGGCCAAGTGGCAAAAAACAAAGACTCATTCTGTAGTTGGGTTCGTAATCTTATTACAAACAAAGGTTTAGCTGTTAGACATGTATACTTTACAAGTATTGAACAAAAAACTAAGCACTTGAAAATAAGCGCTAAAAAACGTGCTCCCAAACTTTGCATCACAGAGCAAATTTTGTTAGAAGTTTTTCCAATATTAATTTATATTCTACAATTTGATAATATTTACTCATCAAAAAATATAATAATTAAGCAACTAAATATCAAAATCATTCAAAAATTAAAATCTAAAACAAACAATTTCTCTACAAAAAGTAGTAAGGAAGCTAACATAGTATGGACGGAAACAAAACAGCACGTGCACGTTTTAAAAAAATACTAATAAAAGACAAAAACAAAAATGCACGCAAGAAACAATATCTAATAAGATAACACAAAAAATATTACAATACTCGAAATAGAAATCCAAATCCACTCAAAAGTTTTATCCATACTTATCCAATTATGGAACTAAAATGGCGATTTGCCGAGGCCGATGACCTTGAGCCCGTTGTTGCGTATTTTAGTTTTATTCTTTACGCAAAATCTTATCGAAGATATTCAAATTAAATGCTGTGTACGTATGCAGTTAGATGTATTATTGATGTCATTCATTACATTTGGCTGTTACAGTAGTATTTTAAATGCAAAACAACTCAAAATGTAATGCGGTGACGCGCGATATGGGTGACGATGTTTATAAACAGATTAATTTCTACCCTAAATCTTTGTCTGACACTCAAGTCATGAATTAAAAACTGTTTATTGTTTACCCTTCCATGATAGGTAAACAATATATTGTCCAATTTCACTTAAAAACACCTTCAAACCATAAAAACACTTGGGTCTATAACACAACCACACGACTACAAACGGCTCCGCATAGACTAAACAATACTCATGTTACCGGCGGGAATTTGTTTAACATGTGGTGGTATATTCTATCCTTGTCGTATTCTCCGTATGTTTTGCAAGTTAGAACAGTAAAGATACAAGTTCCAACGCTTATTTTTGTAATTAAAATACGGCGGCAACGATCGACCAGCAGCTGGCGTCCGACAGATGAGCACGATTAGATATCGACCAGGAGATGGTCGATCGACAGTCGAGGGGATATATTACTCCCGGCATGATAGCAAGCGCTTAGTGAGCTGAGATTGGGATATAGTTCTTAGTAAACAGACTTTTAAAGTAAATGCAAATTCTAGCAAGCGTTTTAGGACAATGACGAGGTTGGGAATTACAAAAATATTTCATATCATAGAAAAAAAATAGCACTTTAATATTTTAGCGGGCGAATCAGACTCGTTTCACCCTAGTAATAAATTGTACTGATAAACATTAATAATTACTAAAAAAATAAATATAAAGAGATCGTTTCAATTTTGAGTCTTTTACCTAATGCCCGTACTTTTTATACGTGGTTATCTAACTACCTAAGTGACGAGGAGACACGAATCCCTCAAAAAACTTAAGAGGTGGCACACTCAAATATCATAAAGAGTATAATCGTGCCAAATTAAATCTAATAAAACGTTCCTAGAACTGAGAGGCGAGCTCAGATCCACCACTCGGAGGAACATAAGATAGAGCGCGGGGAGCGACGGGGAGCGACCGAGGAGCTACTGGGAGCGACCGGAGAGCCACTGGGAGCGGCCGGGGAGGCGGCCTGCCTGTCGATACATTCGGCGCCGGCCCACTACGTCACGGGACGTCAGCCGCGACTTCGACGGCGAGCGAGGGTCGGGTGCGGCGGGGACACCGCTACCCTGGCGCCAGGCAGGCGGCGCGCTGGCGCCAGGGGGGCGCGTGTACACCGGTAGTTTAGTGATGGTACTCGCGGCGGTAGCGGTGATGGTGGTGGGCCCGGGCGCGCTGCGGTCAATCCGCGCGGTCGGGGGGCTGCGCGGGCGCGGGCGGCGCGGCGGCCGGGCTCCACGGCTGCACGGGCGGCGTGGGCGGCCGGGCCTCCGCGCCCAGCGCCTCGCCCGCCGCGCCGTCTATAGCCAGGCTGTTCAGCAACATGTCGAACAACGTGTCCTGGAATGTTAACACATTGATCACACTATATTCTTTGTGATAAATAATAGTACGACTGCCGAAACAAATGTACCGTCTAACTACTTTTAAAATAAAATGCAAAATAAACCAAACTGTAAATGCAAATGATAATGTTCACACCAGGGCTACTTAATCTAGAACTTACAAGCAAATATATTCCACAATATAGTTAAAAAAAAATAAAAGCAATATTTCATAAAACTCAAAATTTAAAAATGCTCATTTGGTACCCTAACGTCGTTATTTGCAAATGAAAAAACCAAACTTGAGTAACTCTTATGCAGTACACTTCAAACAACACTTTAAAAACCCAACAACATTAACAATAAACAAAAGTAAGTTCTACATTACAAAATGTATTTGAAACGAACTGCAACAAGAGTACAAAATAAAATAAATGAAATAAAAAGCTGAAAGAATACATTACATTAAGTTGAACATCGTTATTTACGTTGTAATCGAGGACGGCCTCCACGTCGTCCGCGTCGCTGACCGAGGACACCGACGGCCAGTAGTCGTGCAGGGCCAGCGAGGACACGGGGGACAGCGCGGAGCGCTCCGGGGTCCCCGGGGGAGTCGACGTGAAGCTTAGCCCCAAGCACGCTGCCATGGTGGGAAAGTGTTAATATTTCATGTAGTATGGTGATGAGTTGTGGTTACATAAGAAATTTTAAAGTTCTTAGTTTATGTAATAACTAGCTTTCACCCACGGTTTCGCTCGCGTCACAAAAGGATAAAAAGTAGCCTATGTAACATATATTAATACACACAGCGCCATCTATACCAATACTTTTGTTTTCCCTCGGGAATATCAAATTTTTCCGGGATAAAAAGTACCCTATTATTTAATCCAGACTTCTAACTTTACGTCTGCAAAAATTCAAAGCAATCGGTTTAGTAGTTACGGCGTCAAAGTGGAACAAACAAACAAACAAACTCACTTTCCGATTTATAATATTAGTAAGGATGGTGACACACGTGAATATTTCTGTAGAGATTACAATGATGAAAATTAAAATTGAGACACTTACTTACAAATTACTGAATTATGTGTGAATAAAATTGATTGCTTCTAAAACAGTAGTCGTAGGACTTATCTCGTACAATAAGCAATGCATTTATTTATTTTTGGTAATCAATATAATTGGTTGGATTGTACTAAAACGTAATTTGTTCACTCAGAACAACTAGAGATCAATATAATGGGGAAGTAAAAGTGGGCGACCCATACTTGGGCACGAATGGGCCGGCTCGACCGAAGTGATACCACGACCTCACAGAAAACCGACGTGAAACAACGCTTGTGGTGTGTTTCGTTGTGTGAGTGAAGTTACCGGAGGCTTTTGGTGTTCCAAGTGTCCATGGGCATCACCGTTTGCTTACCATCAGGTGATTCGTCTACTCGTGTACAGGCTTATTCCATAACAAAAAAAGTAATACATACATGTGGCGGGGTGCCTAGTGTCGCGGTGTCGCAGTTGTCCGGGCGACAGGGGCGGCGCGCGGCGCTGGCGGGGCGCGGCGGGCGACGTGGCGGGCCGCGTGCGGGGCCGCGCGCCCCCGCTGCCGCGCCGCGTGGCGCCCCCGCCGCACTCCGACCCGCCCGCACTGCTGCTCCACTGTCGCTTACTGCCACCTGCAATTACTCTTATTGTCACTCAAGCAAACATTAAAGATAGAAGAAGGCTAGGCCGACAGTAGATACTTTATGTCGTCCATTATCAGTTTACTGGGTAGCGGTTTCTAAAATGCAACTGGCCATAATGATCACCAACCTTCGTATTAATATTGCCATATACAGTGCCCTGTAAGAAAACTTGTCAGTTCAAAGACCTTCTTTTCGCGATCTAGATGTAATTTAAAGTTGTATTATAAAATCTAAAATTATATTATTATCATAGATAAATAGATACTCACCATGCCGCGAGTGTTTGGGCGTGAGTCCGTTGATGCGCATGAGATTGAGTAGTAGCATGTCAGTATGCGCGGCAGTAGAGAGCTGTGGGTCGGGGTCGTGTCGGGGCGGCGCGGGCGGCCCGGACCCGTCCGTGCCCGCCGGGGTCACGCCGCGGGACGCCACGGCACACACCAACCGACGCAGTATGTCTGCCCCGGAACCACTCGAGCCTCCAGCAAGGTGAGCCGCCTCTATGTCGTTCTCCCCTGCCATCGTAAGAGCACTGTTACTATGTATAGTTGTAGCCCACCATGCCGTAAGTTGGCCAAACCCCACTTGATCACACCGTACCACACCCGTAAGCTGCTGTTGATAGGTTAATAAGTATAGTGTATTACTTGTATTATTACAGCAAGTTGCGTCAAATATTGAACAATGTGATAAAAAATTAACCATTAAAAATCACTCTGACACTATTTATGTTAAAACTAAAAACCACGCTAAACTGACGTTCTCATCACATTGGATTTGATCGACACGTTTCCCAACTTAAGGTTCACAGATAAACCGCAAAAAAATGTTTACTTGAAAGTATTATTTGTGGAGAGTAAAATATCTCAACTAACCCTTAATAAATAATCATTAAAATGGGGATTAAATGAGACTGTTCTGTGACTGTAAAGTAAAATTTTGAACAAAATAATCGAAACAAACTCAAATAACTGTCTAGTAGTTGTCTGAGGACAGTTTTACGCTGGCCACGTATCACTGGTGGGGCGCGGCGGGCTCGGTGTGATCAAGTGGAGTTGAACCCTAATACTGACGCTACTTACTGCAGCCGTGGTGCGGGGTCTAGGCGGGTAAATCAAAAGCTCGACGGCGGGTTATCCTTTATTATCATTTATTTTAATTATAAGGTTCGCCGCGGCCGTTAACTCGACGTCAACTCGATGTTCTCAATTACAATGATAATGCTAGCGACGTCTTGAGAGCGGTGTACTCGAGGAAGTGTCGGGAGAGGAGAGGTAGGGCGGGGAGCGGGCGCGGTCAGTGCTGCGGGCGGCGGTAGGGCGCGGGGCGGGCGGGGCGGGCGGGGCGCGCGGGGCGCGGCGGGCGGGCGCGGGGCCGCGGCAGCGGGCCCAGGCCGCACCACGAGCAGCCCGACGAGCCCGACGTGCCCTCTGGCCCAGGACCACGGTTAGGAAGCGGGACGGGGCGGGACCTACTGTACACAAGCTCTACCACGCACTCACTCACCAATACACCCTAAACACTGATACCCCTACAACTAGGTTAGTTAACGTTAGCTCAATTAGATCGTTAATACTCAAATTATATCAAGGTTAGTATATCAATGAATTCAAACACATGGGGAATGTAACTGGCAATGTGTTGGAGCGTACCTGACATAGTTTCGTCGTCGACATCGTTCTCTTCATTGGAGTTCTCGTCCACGTGACTTGGGTTATTTTCATCAGCAAATACTTCCAGCTCACTGAACATCAAGTCCTGGGGGGAAAAACATATAGTTTCACATAACATGTTTAGACAAGCAGATCCTACAATGAGTATAACACATTCTCTTTGGTAGTGGCTGTCGCAGGCAAATTGAATAAGCCGCCGTGTTACATTACGCCAAGCCCATACAGCTTCACGAATGAGGCTTTCGAGGCGGTTAGAACCGATAATGCGGTCAAAATGACAAATCAAAGATTGCGGATACACAAAATTGTCAACTTTTCTTAGATTTTGTGGTTTTGGAGGATGTGAAGCCTGTGGGTTACTCACTCCAGTGTCGCTGCTACTCTCGGAGGCGGCGTGCAGCGGGTGCGTGGCGGGCTCGGGCTCCAGCTTGGCGCCCGCGTTGAGTTCGGGCGACGAGATGGACGAGCACAGCACCGCGTTGGCCGCCGCCGCGGTGGTGGACTCCGTCACTGGGTTGCTCGATACTGCTGCAAACATTGCACTCTTATCGACTAACCAAGCTTTTTGACATTATAATCTCAATGGCTTATATTATTATGGTTCATTTATGGATTAGATACCTACACAGACTTGTCTATATTACTTAAATATAAAGCTAAAGAGTTCGTTTGTTTGAAACTCAAGAACCAACGGATAGATTAAAAAAAAAAAATTATGTTGGATAGTCCAATTATTGAGAAAGACTATAGGCTGCAAAATATCACGATTAATAGGAACCGAGTAGTAGGTGGAACCGCGTGGAAGCAGTTACTAGTGTGTTACAATAGGTGGGCACGTACCAGTGAGCTGCGAGTCCTTGCTGGGCAGCTTGCTGGGCACGCGCAAGGGCGGCGCCTGCGCGGGAGTACGTACCAGTGAGCTGCGAGTCCTTGTTGGGCACGTGGTGTTTGTCGGGGCGCGGCTCGGCCGTGCGCTTGCTGGGCAGCTTGCTGGGCACGCGCGAGGGCGGCGCCTGCGCGGGAGTACGTACCAGTGAGCTGCGAGTCCTTGTTGGGCACGTGGTGTTTGTCGGGGCGCGGCTCGGCCGTGCGCTTGCTGGGCAGCTTGCTGGGCACGCGCGAGGGCGGCGCCTGCGCGGGAGTACGTACCAGTGAGCTGCGAGTCCTTGTTGGGCACGTGGTGTTTGTCGGGGCGCGGCTCGGCCGTGCGCTTGCTGGGCAGCTTGCTGGGCACGCGCGAGGGCGGCGCCTGCGCGGGAGTACGTACCAGTGAGCTGCGAGTCCTTGTTGGGCACGTGGTGTTTGTCGGGGCGCGGCTCGGCCGTGCGCTTGCTGGGCAGCTTGCTGGGCACGCGCGAGGGCGGCGCCTGCGCGGGAGTACGTACCAGTGAGCTGCGAGTCCTTGTTGGGCACGTGGTGTTTGTCGGGGCGCGGCTCGGCCGTGCGCTTGCTGGGCAGCTTGCTGGGCACGCGCGAGGGCGGCGCCTGCGCGGGAGTACGTACCAGTGAGCTGCGAGTCCTTGTTGGGCACGTGGTGTTTGTCGGGGCGCGGCTCGGCCGTGCGCTTGCTGGCAGCTTGCTGGGCACGCGCGAGGGCGGCGCCTGCGCGGGAGTACGTACCAGTGAGCTGCGAGTCCTTGTTGGGCACGTGGTGTTTGTCGGGGCGCGGCTCGGCCGTGCGCTTGCTGGCAGCTTGCTGGGCACGCGCGAGGGCGGCGCCTGCGCGGGAGTACGTACCAGTGAGCTGCGAGTCCTTGTTGGGCACGTGGTGTTTGTCGGGGCGCGGCTCGGCCGTGCGCTTGCTGGGCAGCTTGCTGGGCACGCGCGAGGGCGGCGCCTGCGCGGGAGTACGTACCAGTGAGCTGCGAGTCCTTGTTGGGCACGTGGTGTTTGTCGGGGCGCGGCTCGGCCGTGCGCTTGCTGGGCAGCTTGCTGGGCACGCGCGAGGGCGGCGCCTGCGGGAGTACGTACCAGTGAGCTGCGAGTCCTTGTTGGGCACGTGGTGTTTGTCGGGGCGCGGCTCGGCCGTGCGCTTGCTGGGCAGCTTGCTGGGCACGCGCGAGGGCGGCGCCTGCGCGGGAGTACGTACCAGTGAGCTGCGAGTCCTTGTTGGGCACGTGGTGTTTGTCGGGGCGCGGCTCGGCCGTGCGCTTGCTGGGCAGCTTGCTGGGCACGCGCGAGGGCGGCGCCTGCGCGGGAGTACGTACCAGTGAGCTGCGAGTCCTTGTTGGGCACGTGGTGTTTGTCGGGGCGCGGCTCGGCCGTGCGCTTGCTGGGCAGCTTGCTGGGCACGCGCGAGGGCGGCGCCTGCGCGGGAGTACGTACCAGTGAGCTGCGAGTCCTTGTTGGGCACGTGGTGTTTGTCGGGGCGCGGCTCGGCCGTGCGCTTGCTGGGCAGCTTGCTGGGCACGCGCGAGGGCGGCGCCTGCGCGGGAGTACGTACCAGTGAGCTGCGAGTCCTTGTTGGGCACGTGGTGTTTGTCGGGGCGCGGCTCGGCCGTGCGCTTGCTGGGCAGCTTGCTGGGCACGCGCGAGGGCGGCGCCTGCGCGGGAGTACGTACCAGTGAGCTGCGAGTCCTTGTTGGGCACGTGGTGTTTGTCGGGGCGCGGCTCGGCCGTGCGCTTGCTGGGCAGCTTGCTGGGCACGCGCGAGGGCGGCGCCTGCGCGGCAGTACGTACCAGTGAGCTGCGAGTCCTTGTTGGGCACGTGGTGTTTGTCGGGGCGCGGCTCGGCCGTGCGCTTGCTGGGCAGCTTGCTGGGCACGCGCGAGGGCGGCGCCTGCGCGGCAGTACGTACCAGTGAGCTGCGAGTCCTTGTTGGGCACGTGGTGTTTGTCGGGGCGCGGCTCGGCCGTGCGCTTGCTGGGCAGCTTGCTGGGCACGCGCGAGGGCGGCGCCTGCGCGGCAGTACGTACCAGTGAGCTGCGAGTCCTTGTTGGGCACGTGGTGTTTGTCGGGGCGCGGCTCGGCCGTGCGCTTGCTGGGCAGCTTGCTGGGCACGCGCGAGGGCGGCGCCTGCGCGGGAGTACGTACCAGTGAGCTGCGAGTCCTTGTTGGGCACGTGGTGTTTGTCGGGGCGCGGCTCGGCCGTGCGCTTGCTGGGCAGCTTGCTGGGCACGCGCGAGGGCGGCGCCTGCGCGGGAGTACGTACCAGTGAGCTGCGAGTCCTTGTTGGGCACGTGGTGTTTGTCGGGGCGCGGCTCGGCCGTGCGCTTGCTGGGCAGCTTGCTGGGCACGCGCGAGGGCGGCGCCTGCGCGGCAGTACGTACCAGTGAGCTGCGAGTCCTTGTTGGGCACGTGGTGTTTGTCGGGGCGCGGCTCGGCCGTGCGCTTGCTGGGCAGCTTGCTGGGCACGCGCGAGGGCGGCGCCTGCGCGGGAGTACGTACCAGTGAGCTGCGAGTCCTTGTTGGGCACGTGGTGTTTGTCGGGGCGCGGCTCGGCCGTGCGCTTGCTGGGCAGCTTGCTGGGCACGCGCGAGGGCGGCGCCTGCGCGGCGCTCAGCAGCGTGTGCAGCGACACCAGCGCCATGTTGTCCGGGCCCGTGCCCGACACGTGCAGGGAGTTCGCGGACCTACACACAACCAAGCGCAAGGAACGTTAGCAAACCAATGTTTTTATTTTATTTCTGTCAAACAGAAAACTGATGGACTGCACAGAACCAGAAGTACAGCAGAAAACACAGTATAATATCCTAAAAAAGTGACCTGAAAATGAAATAATGCCAATAGTGTGTAGTTGAAGTACTCACCGTGAGGTGGAGGGCAGATTGTACCCGGCGTCGAGCGCGTGTGTGGCGTGGGGTTGGTGGGGTTGGTGCGGCGCGTGTCTGTAGTCGCCGTACCCGGCCGCACCGGACACGTCATTGTTCCGCGAGTCGTCCACGAACATGCCCGTGTTCAGGATACCTGCACACCGCCCACCGCCACACTCACCACACGTCACCATACTCACTATGCCGTCACCAATACGTACAATGGGTTTTAACACAGAAAAAAAATATAGTATCGATGGAGATAATAACTATACAATTGTGGTCATAACTAAACAAACCAGACTGGGCTACATACTGTAAGTTTTGAATAAAGTTAATGTGAGCTATGAGGCCAAACGTGATACTGTTAATCCTCACTTTATGAATGTTTAATGCAAATTTTGACTGTATTTTTAACACAATACTAGTCACTGCTTTGGAACCGATCTTAGTAAAAATGTACAGATAATATAGAAGACAGTTATATTGTAAAGTCAAACACAAGTATGACTAACCGGGACTAGCAAGTCGTTGTCCGCTCATGATGCTATGTGGCGCGCTAAACTTCCACTGGTTCCCGAAGACGATGGAGTCGCTGAGACTGTTTCCATCGACGGGGTTGTTCTGCGACGGATTGTCCGTGTCGGTGCTGCCAGCGTTGGACTGCGAAGTATTCGAGCCGGTCTGTGCACGGGTCGCCGCGATAGAGTTGCGAGACATCTCTAATGAGAGACGCTGTGGACATTTGGGTATACAATTTTGATCCTTATTACACGTCAAATAGGGGTGCTAATTTGTGATTGAAATATTCGATACCTTACCTCTTTGAGATCATTTATTTGCAGGATGTGTTGGTTTTGCATGGTGATCAACTGGTTGATGTACCACTGCTGGTCGCGACAGCGCTGGTAGAACGTCGGCGGGCGCACTTGGAATCTTTTACAAACAACTTTACGTTAGGGTAATACAACAACAGTACATTTCGAGTCGAAAAGTGAGAGTACTAACTGTTCTTCTTGTCTTTATCACCAATAGCATTCTACAGTCGTCTTCCATTCAACCTGGCCCCTTACCAGACAACGTTACTTCATAACAAATCACCAAATTTCTTTCATATAACTCCTCACTCCTCGTTAAACTCAGTCATCTTATCACTCTTACCTCAATATAAGAGTATCCGTCTCCGGGTCCAGATACCCCTCGCTGGCGAGCAGGTCCAGCCTGAAGAAGCGGTTGTATCCCCAGCACTCGCCGACCTCGAAGTCAGAAGCAAACTCCCTCACTATGTTCTTTGAAGGGTCGCGTGATACTTGGTGCAACATCTCCACTCGATACTCGTATCTGGGACATATATTGCGTACAGGTTCTGCCCGCAACTTTATGGGACAAAGCTATTGTAAAAGTTCATTGTAAAAGTAAATAGAAGATGCTTTTTGCGTTTTCATATCCTGCCATAATTGAATAAGAAAAAAAAAATATAAATATGTTATGTAGCTTGAATTTTAGATGAACTTCAACTTTTATAATCATTGTAAATTGATTGAAACAGAAAATTGAAAATGTGTTGTTGATTTACGCTTATTTTGAAAATGTTTAAAACGATGATATCTTAAGGATCTTAACAGCTGACAATATTACGAACAAATATTGCTTGGAAATATTTACAAAAACGCCAAATTTTGAGTTGCCCATGTAGCATAGCATACCTGAATTATTTACTTTTACTTACATCACTGCTTCATCCTCTAAACAGTAGATATTTAACTAAAAGATTCAAGCACTAGCAACAGATAGGACAGATTTACGAACAAGTAAGGCCACGAGGAAACAATTTACTTTGTCTAACGAATTTCAACCCTAATTGTAATGTTTTAATGTTTACTCTAGACATATTGTTGATTGTGATAAAGTTCGTCGATGATATTTACATGTTTTATCAACATTTACGTTTGTGTGTAGTAGGCGTTGAGAGAGATATAGGTTTTAGGTTTTACAAGAGTGCCAAGCACGAATAACTATCGCATTCGTAACGTAATAGTATCGAGCGCGTTCGGTGTTCTGATTGGCCGGCTCCAGTGAACCAACCAATTCGTGCGTTACAAATGCGATAGTTATTAGTGCTTGGCACTCAGAAGATAAGAAAGTGACACTTGATATTTCTCGTAAGGAAGAGTTTATTTGTTTTCCAGTTATAAGTTTTCAGTAAATAAAAAGTAGCAAGATTTTTGTTATAAACAACCCTTAGATAAGTAGAGGGCTTTCATTTTTTCAAACTATCAATTAATCGGTACGAATCTGGCTTCTGTTAGTTTCTATTGAACTTAAGCACTTTTTATTAGAAGAAAATTAGTTAGTCAAACCTACAAAACGCCTTCTACACAACATATCTACATGGCGATTTATACGTAAAAGATTTCTTCAACAAAGATATAATATGGATATAGTACAATGATAACAAAGCTAGCTGTCCACAAAATATCGAATAAGTTTGTTTTAATTAGGAAGCGACTATATGACATCATGTTTTCATTCATTATTTATTTTGACTGAAAACCTGCGGTAACATAATTATAGTTTTGATACAGAAAACATCATGTGAAATAATCGCTTGTAGTAAACTGCAAAGGAGCATTTGAAGTGAGCACACAGAAGAGATGTAAGGCACAATTTATACAAAGTTGTTTGACAACAGGCAATCATTTTGTAGTCTGTGAAACCTGAACGAATATTAGTCCTACATCTCTAGTGGACTGAGTGTTATACTGAAAGATTCAAGGCACAATCAATATTGATCTTAGATGAGAGTGATTTAATGGCCCTTCTCCATATAAATAGTGCCCTATATACCAACAGCATGCTTGACATGGAGCTACTAACGTCTAATGAGCGTCGGCCTCCACAGCCCGCACTTACCTCTTGCCTACTCTTAACTTAGCAGTGCTTGCAATAACGAAATACTAAGTTATTTGGCTATCACTTACAGGGTACAAAACAAATCATTAGGATCGGGTTGTGCAACAAATCAAGTGTTTACGTTGCTGTTCCACCACTCGTGAACTAAGTGCCAATTCGTGGTCTACACAATTTATTTGAGAAGCAAAAAATTAATCTTGTGACATTACCATAAATATGAAACTTCATCTTGTGCTTACATAATTAATATTGAATGAAAAATACTACGAAAAATCTTTACTAAAAATTTTTAAAGATCGAATATTTGTGGTGAAACAGTCCGACAGTAATACAGAGATAATATTTGGAATTAGGACTTGCAATGCAACCCATTAACATCTTTGGTAGATTAGAGTACTTACTTGGAGGTCTCGGGTAGTCCGGCACTGAGTTCGAGGAAGACGGAGAGGTAGTTGCCCCTGACAACTCCGTTCCCGTCGGGGTAGACCTTGAGTCGCCAGCAGAGCCCGTTGACATGTAGCGGGGCGGAGTACACGGGCGCCGCCGCGTGCTGCAGCTGCGTGAAGTTGCTCAGAGGAAACGTGCTGCTATCGTAGCTCGGGACAATTTCACTGCGCGAAGGAGAATTGAAGGTTTTGTGAATATTAAGGTATTCAATTGATGTGCAGAGTCTGTGGAGATCTAAACAAATACGAGGTCAGGAAGTGTTACTGTGTTATCAAGTATCCGAAATTTTCAGTTATACGTACCTACATAATGTTGACAGGATATATAGAGGGACAAAACAAGTTAAATGTAGTGAATCAAAAACCTGTAATTGAGATAAACACAGCAAAAAAAGTGTATCATGTTCATGGTATCTCCCCATTACTTCCTAATCATAACATCCGACCGCCCGCCCTACTATGTAAATCGATGCAGACATGAACACGCCACGCCTTTCATTTTTCAGATTTCTATTCAAGGTTATCGTTTGGTGTGTGGTGACAGCAAAATAGAATATTTTATCACCTGCTTAGTGCGGAAAACAATAAACTGAAAAGATCTCTATGTAGAGGAGTCAAGAGGAGGCCTGGAGGTCCAAGAAGAGAACTAGTGTCACGGAGTGTTGATGAAAGGTCCACTGATGATCGAATAACATCAATTTTTCCTAAAACCATTTATTATAGATTGCAAGATATTAAATATCATCACTTGCCTATGGAAATCGGCCGGTACCGGCGCAGTCACGAAGCTTGCCATCGGTTTCTTGCGAACCTGGTGAATCATCTTCGACAGTTCACCACTCTTCGCAATCAATTCCGACCTGAGAACATTTCAGTGGTTAGAGACAGCTCATAAAATAAATGGAATTTTTAATAAAAAATGACACAAAATAATTACGATTTTCTTTATTTTCTTGTCAATCAATTAAAGTGCTTATCCTAAACGTGTAAGGTACATTTTAGACTGATGATATTAACTTGCAAATAAGTGCCCAACGATAAGTAGATAGTCAAAACTGAGGTCAGATAATATGACCTTACGTGACCCATAAAGAATATCGCAAATAATAACACGGAATAACAGACAAACATGCACAAATATATTAATTTTAACATGCAATACTAACATAACTGATGTTGTACGCTTTCTGGTCACCCCAAAACAGATTATAGCATGAAGGTAGAAGATATAAATAGAGTTAATATAATATCTTTAAATTGTGACTTTAGGTTTTGAAATATTCAATTGATTAGACATGGTTACTTGGCAATAATTGCAATATTTTAAGATGAAATAGATATTTATTTCAATTCTTGTCTAATGAAGGTCATCAGATCCAGTAGTGTTTCAGTGAAATTCAAAAAAAGACATTGCCGATTCTTAACAATAATATAGTTTTGAATAAAACAAATAATCAGCCAGAAGATTAAAATATAGAATAGAAAATAAACCAAACATTTAAAATTTTAGGCAAAATGAAGACTTAAGTATTAATTATCTAGCTATAGAAGCTAAATAGCTTAAGAAATAACATTAGTAAAGAACAATCACTGAATTAAAGCAAATATTTCATAGAACTATTATAAATCAAATAACCGAGTCTGAATAAACAAGATAGCATAGCATTCAATAATAGAAGTATAAAAAGGCTTTGTTTTATAAATAAGGAAGTAATAAAATAAACTATAATCACCTGGTACTTGAATGCAGTTGATGTTCGATCTCTTGCAGGAGATGTTCAAGTTGTTCCGTCTCCTGCGTCAGACTGTTTTTCTGGCCCATGAGTGTGAGGAGTTTGGCCTTCAGCGCAGAATCCAGGCGCGATATCATCAGCTCCACCGCATTGCGAATTTCGCGCACGCGCTCGTCTTTAGCTGCGCGTACCGATTCCACATTGCGTTCCTGACAAATATTGTATTGTTACAATACTTGTATCATATGAAGATTATTTCTGAATGTTAATTGTATTATATTTGTAGCAGTTATATAAATATTACAATAGGACTTCACTTCTATTCAGAGGATGAACATAGTAAAATTGGTTTCATAAAATGTGAAAAACATGAGTTATAAGAATGTAACTCAAGTTGTTACCTACTTCAGAATAGGAAGAACTTTAATTAATATAATATATAATAAACACTTGCATAGCAACAGAAAATCAATACAAAACATACCACATCTTGCCCCAGACTAATCAGCTCTGTGAGCCGACGTCTCAGCTGGAACACTTCATCACGGATCTGTGTGACATGTTGCTCATACACTTCCTCCAAGGGTTTGAAGGTGTGTCCGGAGTGAGTGCCGCCCCACAGAGCACATTGGTGGCAGATGCAGCGCCGACATGTCCAACAGTATACCGTCAGCTTCTCTTGGTGTGTCGGACACCTGTTCAGGGCACTTTGGGTATGTTTATTACGTCCTTACACAAAATTACATTACACATGATGATCACAAGCAAATGATGAAATGCCAGAAATGTCTGCAATATTCACCTATCCCTGAAGCTTTCCCTCTGACTAGCCGAGTTGCTCTGCTGCATGGTCTCGATCTGCTGAGTGACCTCCTCCACCCAGCGGCAGTTGACGAGCTCGTGTAGGTGCAGGGCTGCCCGACAGTGCGGGCACTGCGATCGCTGCTCAGTCAGCCATCGTCGCACGCAGGCGTAGCAACACAGCTTGGAGCAGTGCGGGCAGAGATGTGCGTCCACCAGCTTCTCCATACAGATGAAGCAGCGGAACACCTCCGCCAACGTCTGCAACCATCATTCCATTCAGAACTCTCGTCAACTCAATCTATCTGTCAAAAATGTAGGCCACATCGATTTACCTCAACGATCTGCTCCTCGCCATTTCCATTCCCTTTGTCTCCTCGCGAGGCCATATTTTAGGTTTGCTTTTCTTACTACGGGGCCGACGAGTTATTCACCATAATTTGGACATGTTTATATATTTCTAAAATAACAATTGGACATGTTTCGCAATGCGAGCGTCAATACACGAAACCACTTCCGCGTTCGAATATCAATCGAATCAAAATAAAAACAAAAAAATGGTGCTTTTGCACTAATGTTGAAATTACCCTATAAAAATAATTTTACATTTTTGTCGTTCATAAGTAAAAAATAGAATGGAAATAACTAGTAGATGAATAATGAAAACTGGTTTAATTGCACTAAAATTATATTTTTTGTGAATTATCTGCCCGGGTTTTCGTACGGTTTCAATGTTTTTTTCCTATTCATGATAATTCAGCTGTGACTATAATTCCCCAATATATGGGACACTGAACTGGCAATACAATGGGTAAAATAGTGTTGCCATTTACATTCTAATTTAATTTATCTATCGATCGATAGAAAAGGAAGCGTTCGAAATAAAATCTTTTGAATCATTCATCTATTTTTCCACATCTATTTATCGTCCGTTGTATCGTCGTATCGACTCGTCCTCAACATGATGACCCGGACTAGTATTTCAATGCAATCCTTAAATTATCGAGACCTATTTTTTTTATTTTAATATAGGTATTTTATTATGTAATCTAGTGTTCAGTTGTACTTTTTGGGTCAAGGAAATTCATTTAGGTTCAAGTTAAGAATAGCTGAATATAAGAAAAGCTGTGAAAATCATAGTTTTATTAAAATTACATTATTTTCAAATACAATCAAGTTCAACTGGCAATGATCATACACCCTCAATGTTACGTCACATATGTCATATGTCGAATTTAACTTGATAACCTCTGACTGAAATGTTTTTATTTTCTCATTCTTATAATAATTATTTTTCGTGGTGATAAAAAGGGTGCATTTTACGGTATTTCAAACACTGGATTACAAATACTAAATACGTGAGTTATGTTTAAATCAGTCAGTAACAGAACTTCAGTCGGTTAACTTATAACACTCAGTTGATAATAAGAGTTGGATGGAGCTGTATGTTATTCAACTCCAATGTTATTTTTATTTTAGAATAGTATTGAGGTCTTGTGACATAGTTCCTTGTATACTGGCACCTTTACCTGAGATAAAGATATTATTTTAGTACCTGAAAGATTACCTAGCTATTATTTTTTTTTTTGTAAATATTTCAGAATGTTGATATAAGGCGTGTGGCAGAATGTTTTATAGAAAAGTGATGCACTGTACGATCTGCCTGAAACATGGCACTGTCGGCATTTCTGGGGTAAGTTTTTATAATAAAAATTAGTTTTAAAAAGGCAGGAAAAAGCATGGTGTGTTGTTTGTTATCTGTGACAATGATTGATGGTATCATTAGTTGTTATGTATCATTTTCTATTAAAAAATTATGATATAAATATTTACGAAGGAAAATTAAACGGATATGTTCAGAAAAAGGTTTATCGATTGGTGAATTTTTATTGGTAGGACTTGATTCTGTGTTTCATTAATTAATTTGTATAAATAAAATAATAAAATAAAATTCATTTAAAACATTAATGAGTATGCTACCAATTAATATTTTTTCATATTTTATTATTTTTCAATACCTAATCATATTGCCTAGCAAACGGTACATTAGTTGAATATTATTGCAAATAATCTAATCTTATCCACCACAAATATTAAGTTATACATTATCAACTACAGGAGGTGCCTCAATACTTCATTGATAAATTTCCATTTATTCAGAAGTACATAAATCTTTTAAAATCAGACTAATGACATGAATAACTCAGATAAAATTGCATATTTTATGTATAAGTATGTGTAATGTGTATGTGTGATGCATCACTAAGTTAAACAACCATAGTAATATTAAGGGCCTTATGTTCAATTCTGTCTACCCCTTCGGGGATGAAAGGCGTGATTTATGTTTTAATTCAATATATATTGCTTCCAATAAGAAAAAAACAATTAAAAATTTAGTCATTTGTAACAATACAGATGACATTTGGTATACAAATACCAACACAATAGAAGAATGTTCTCAAAAATGATGTCTAAAATTTGTCCAACCAAGAAACTAATGCCGGAATACTGAAACGTTACTCAATTAAGTCGCGCTTAAGTATAGTTTTGTCACCTGTAATTGTTTGTGAAATGACAGAGATGGCACGATATTTAAGCACGACTTAAAATTGAGTAACATTTCATTATTCCAGCAAGTTCCTAAAGCCTTTTACTAGCAACAAATCAGTAATAATAGTTATTAATAAAATTCAAAAATGACATCAGTGATAGCTTAAAAGGTTAAAATAATAAACAATCTCACGAAACTGATTCGTTATCAAAAACTCGTGTGGTTTTTGAATAATAATTTTTCGTTACTGATTAACTTCGAAATTAATTAGTTATACCTACTGTGACATACACTACCTATAATCAATTTAAAAATAGAGAAAATATTAAGTTAATTGCTATTATGCGCATCGATTTTAGGATGACGTCATAATGCACATGCCCATTATTGACTTCAATTCAAAATGCCCAAAATTATATTAAGTTTCTTTAACTATTTGAGAACACTATCTTTTATATGTATATTTGATGGGCCGACGTTTGACCACTATGTCGGCTGGTGGTATGCGATGGTGCGGTCTACGATGGACCACGTCGACCCATAAGCAACCTATTTACTCGGGCCTTGAAGACACCCTTCAGGAAAAGACTGGCAAATAATTCCACTCCTTAGCAGTACGCACAAGGAAGCTTTATCTCAGTTAAATCAGAGAACTATCTTATATCTACACAGTGAAAACCACACGTAGGCAATTAATGATAAAATATGTTAATATCTGGTGTCACTTCCAAGTTCAAACGTCTGATTTATGAAATGAACATATTCATTGGAACAATGCAATGCGAAAACTAGGTACCTACATAATATTATGTGTATGTATATATTTTTATCATCATTTTATTTATTTTATACTAGCTTTTACCCGCGGCTTCGCTCGCGTCACAAAAGGATAAAAAGTAGCCTATGTGACATATACCAATACACACAGCGTCATCTATACCAATAATTTCGTTTTCCATCGAGGATATCAAAATTTTCCGGGATAAAAAGTACCCTATTATTTAATCCAGACTTCTAACTTTACGTCTGCAAAAATTCAAAGCAATCGGTTTAGTAGTTACGGCGTGAAAGTGGAACAAACAAACAAACAAACAAACTCACTTTCCCATTTATAATAGTAAGGACAAGGATGCTTACTGTACCCATACGAGTCACCTAACTGATTTACTAATCATGTAGACTAGCCATTCTTCAATAAACATCCAAACGTTACGTTAATATTCAACCGTAGTGCTTACATAACATTATATTTCAGAACGGCATACTCCTGCAACAACTGGCAAGGATATCGACAACGCAATGTTGGAACAGCAAGCTGCCAATCACGACACAGACCACGGCCAAGGTGAAAAACAAAAATGTGCCACAAGATACCAGAATGTGGAAGGAAACACCATCACACGATAGAAAGAATCAGATGGGGAACTATTGTATGATGCTGTCCAAATTCAGATTAAGTTGTAAGTAGCATAAAGTAAAAACATATCGCCAACTGTTGCTATGCGCGCATTGAAAACGACTGGACCAAATTATAATCTTTTCGAGTTGTGTCTGAATCTGTTATTATCAAGATTTTTATAAAAACTATTTTTCTTTGTGGGCAACAGCACCGTGCGATGCCGCGAAAGCCTACTAGTTTCAGTAATCGTTGAAATCATGAATCACGTGTGGTCCGACGTAACGCGAAACATATTTAATTACGAAGACAAATTAGCAGAGAAACGTCTTCAATGTACCTACAATATTATGCTTAATTCCATATTATATTCTTCTCTTGGTGAAAATAGTAGTATGTATATAATACGTTGATCTAGAGCCCGTTCATTTAGTTTTGTAATCTGCAGTTTTCAGCTGACCATTATTTAAATAAAAACCTCTGTTACCTCTTAACCTTCATGCCTACGTGCCGTCGTAATTTTATCTCCGACATAATTTATGTGTCTACGGTCTACGTGATCGATACAGCGTTATATCCATACCTAACATATCTAAACAAAACGAGTCTAGACTTCAGACATTCGATTCGCTTAGCCGTATAGCCGCGCGCCGCCGCTACTTCATATCAACAAACTGAAATCGACCAATCGCCGACCCATAATGTTAAAATTATGAAGTACTCAACGATATTAGTTGATATCTAAAAATTAACACAGTTAACATTCCTAATACGTTTATCAGTTATCGTGGATATAATCGATGGCTTTAAATTATTATCATTTTTGTAAACAGAGATGACACTTTGTTGCAACAACACGAGGCGAACGGATAAGCACGGATCTCATGGACTTAAATATTTATTGATCATCTTTTCAATACACGTTTAACCTTACTATTACTAAGGTTAAAAGATCACACGAGGATAATAACGGGTACAAAATATGTATATAGACGTTTTCCCAATAACTGATAACCACTACAAATGTGAGGGAAATACATAAAATAGACTCTCGAGAATTTGTAGTCCCTCGCTAATTCTATTGCGCATTGAATGAACAGACCAATAGTTCTCTACTTGTGTGTTATCGCTTAATTCATTAAGCTATTGAAGATTAAAAGCAACGCTTTAGTCTTTGTTTCTATTTGGAATTTATAGCTAGGTCACTGCCAAAGTACCTGCGGGCATTTTTGCTTGAGCCCCGGAAGACTTAACGGGTTGCCGGGGCTCCGGCTCGAAGTGCAGGAGTAGGAACGGGGTGGTTTTTAGTCAGTAAGAATCTACCACTCCCTCTCGCCTCACCCGGTCGGGAGAAGTCATTGGATGATATTCCACTCTCAAAAAAAGGCATTTTTGCTTATTTGCGAATACTTTGAAAAAAAAAACAGTCCTATTTGTGTCTGTCTTGTAACTGAATGCATCTTATTTGCAGCGCTAGTAGTGATGTCTTCAATGGCTGGGTACGCACTCGCGCCCGCACCCTTCGACTTGACGACGTTCGCGTTATGCGCGATCGGAACAGGCCTCACGTCAGCCGCAGCCAACTCTATCAACCAATACCACGAAGTACCATTCGACGCACAGATGTCTAGGACTAAAAATCGAGTACTAGTCAAAGGATTACTAGAGTAAGTTTCTTCATAATCACCAGCAAATCTTCATTATCTTCAAGTCATTTTGGCTTCAGCTTCAATACTCCCAACGTCCGTTTATGGAGAGATTTTTTGATAACTAGGTAGTCTCCAATTCCAAAAAAACGGGCAACAGAATTGTGCCTCAAAATTTAGTGTTGCGAGTGTCCAAGTGTCCATATGCGGTGTGAATTGCTTACCATTGGGTGGATTCTTCTGCTCGTAACTTTATTTATGTTAACTACAACTTTCAGTTGTTTGTTTTGGTCGAAGAATATCTACATGACAACAGCAGATTCCCTACTTATCGCTTGTTATGTAATGTTTTCTTTTATTCGTCTAATAAAAACCAATTTTTTATTTGAAAATTTCAAATACCTTTGACCTCGAAAATTAAATACGAAAACAGATAATTTTATCTCTGTACACATTTTTAAAACGTGACAAAATCAAATGTATTTTTAATAACTAATTAAAAAAATGTTTCAGGCCTGTCCACGCAATAGGTTTTGCGACTTTAGCGGGCTCTACAGGCTTGGGTCTGCTTTACTTCGGAGTGAACCCACTCACAGCCGCACTCGGTGCTACTAACTTAATACTTTACACGTCCGTCTATACGCCTATGAAGAGGATGTCCATATACAATACCTGGCTGGGGTCTGTAGGTAAGTAACTACATAAAAACAACTTTTCCCGTATTGAAACTTGTTCAACTTCTCTAAGTCTAGGGAAACATGTTACACGACAGATCTCCCATAAACAAATCATTATAACTGTTCTTTTTTCATTAAAATAGTATTACAGGTACCTTACAGATCGCTAAATGTTCCTCATCTATGTACAGTTGGAGCTATACCTCCTCTAATGGGCTGGGCGGGGTGCTCGGGTGCGCTGGACCCGGGCGCGATAGTGCTCAGCGTGATCCTATACTCCTGGCAGTTCCCACACTTCAACGCACTCTCGTGGAACCTACGGCCAGACTACTCGCGCGCCGGCTACAGAATGATGGCCGTCACTGATCCTGGTAATTTTACATTCTAATATGAACTTTATGCCTGTTAGATAAAGTGCTAGAAAGCTTAAAAATGTTTCTGTTAGCAACAATCAGTAGGCGTTATCACGAGAATGGTTGATTATTATTATTTCTTAATTACAGAAGTTGGTACTTAAACGTTGTTTTATTATTCCAGCACTGTGCAGGAGGGTAGCCCTGAGACACACGGGAGTGATAATGGGAGCGTGCCTTGCCTCATCTTACCTCGAAGTAACAAACACGTGGTTCGCACTAGAATCGCTACCGTTAAACGTTTATTTTATGTACTTAGGTAAGTCTTACGTACGAATAATCTTTTACATTATCATTGTGTATGTAAACAAAGATACATATGTTTATAGTTTACTGGCTTATCACTTTTATTATAATTAATTGTGTAAACAATATTCAGTAATATCAATTCGCTAATTACTTTTCCATTGTCCACAGCATGGCAATTTCACCAGAAATCGGACAGTAACAGTTCGAGGAAGCTGTTTAGGTTTTCTCTAATACATTTACCGGCACTAATGTTGCTAATGCTAGTCAATAAGAAGAATTGGTACAAGAGTGAGACGCAGGAGCAGGAAACTACCAAGGTGCAGGATGTCAAGATCCCAGACTCCAGAATATCAGTACTACCGCGCAGGCCCGTGGTAGCGGCGCAGGAGTCGGACCTGTCGCCATAGAAAAGCAACCACTGATCGATAATAACTGCTACAATATCATTTGTTACCTATAAATTAAGTCAATAATTTATTATTTGTCAATTTGGTGGCAAATCAGTCGGCAAGAGTCGTACAATTCGCATGTTGGCTAGTTGCGTCGTACTGGGTGCCTAGTGCGAATTTGTTCTTACGTTAATGTTACCGCCCTTAACGCTGATTGGTTGATCAACTTTGAGCAGCCAATCAGAGCGCAGAACGTGATAAACGTGTCGATCGTGATAGCACACAATACACTCGTACTGATAGAAAATGTCGATGTAAGACGAGGTTATATGCAACTTATACAAAATAAGTTACATGTAAAATTGTATCGGTGCGATGATACCTACGTTTGTTGCCGATCAGTGATCCTTGCTAACCTTATAATCTACACAATACATGTAGATGTAGTACTTATGTAAATAATGTACATTATAATTATGTGATTCACTTAGATGTACGTAATATAGTAATAACGTCGTAACCTCAGATTGTTATTTGTCACAAAGCCAAGTAACGTGTGCGGTGTGCATACCTCTATTGAAATTATGTTCAAACTAAAATGTTCTCGAAAGTACTCAATAGTATTTTGATGTATTATTATTTATTACATCTTGCCTTTGATTATAATTTGAATAGGATCAGATTATATTATCCATGACTTGGGATTAAATGAAATCAATAAATAATAAATCCTTACATTTATTTTTGTGGTATAATTTAAATTACAATTTCAGTTTTCATTGGAATCAGAAATAAACTACATACATACAAACATTCAGACCTGATTTGAACAACGCGCAGACGGACATTGGGTGTGAGAACACAGTAACAAATGTAACGAGCCGTGAGCGACAAATGAAACCCGTGTTTGTTCCTTACGACATCATATTTCTTCGTCAGATTATTTCCTGAAACAAAATAGTACATGATTTATAATATTGCTTGTCAGAACATGTAATACTTCGTCTCAACTATATTAAGATATTTTAAGATTTCAAATTACTTCAATCGATTTTCAACTTTATTGCTTTTCCGTAAAGTCGAATATTGAATTAATGTTAGGTCAACTGAAACATTGGCGATGGGAGTTTACTTCTCTAAAAAGGGGTAGGTACAGCACTATTACGCAAATCAGAATAGTGATACTCACTTAGCTTTCTTAGGAGTACGGTCATGTTCCCGGCTGTCGTCGCGGGAACGTTTGTGCGACTTGTCGCTGGAGTGCTTCTTGTCGCTCGACTTGTTGTGCGACTTGCTGTCACTCTTGCCGCGGTCGCGCTCGTGGTGGGACGACTTGTGGTGCTTGTCGCGGTTCTTTGAGGGGCTGGAGGTGATATGATGGAATTAGACAAAGCGTATAAACAGAAATTACTTAATATACAGAGTGTAAAAAGACCACTCCCAAAAAACGTCGACAGGTGATAGTAAAAAACAAGTTCTATTTTCATAAAAGTAAGGAACTCAATGTAATCAACTGCTCAGGGCTGATGTTGCATGAATGAAAATGAAATGAACACGAAAACATATACGATTAAAATTTCTTTTTTGCCAGCATTTCGGGAGCGTTTCACTTACACCCTGTATATAGACTTCTAGCTAAAATAGATATTATTAGAATTTCCGGAAATCGAATAACCAAAATACTTTTCCCGATTCCAGTGTCGAAACAAGGACTCAACAGTCACGTTTGTAACGACTTTAGAAATACTTAAAACTAAAACGAACCTGCTGCTATTATGTTTCGACGGACTCTTATGGTTTGAACTCTTATGATTGGAGCTTGAACTTTTGTGGTTTGAAGAACTCTTGTGGTTACTTGAGGATTTGTCATGTTTGCCCTTCTTGCTGTGGCCTTCATCCTCGAACCGACCGCCGCCACGCCCACCCTTGCGCTTGCGATCAAACTCTGAGGTTTCATTTCGATCATAACCTCTCTCTTTCTTGTCCTCCTCGGCAGCTTCGCGTTCAAGATCCGACCAGTCCTTTCCTGATTCTTCGTCTTCTTCACCTGTAGGAAATAAATGTAATATAAACGTGTGTTTTATTTTTTGATAGGAGCAACACTAGTGGAATTTACTGATATGTTGCCGGCCTTTACTATTTCTATAGAGTTTATTATGTTGGTCATGTGACAAAATGACAATAGACGGAAAGATTGTGTGAGAAATGGTAAGAAAAAGATATTATTATGTGACATGATCATAGAAGAAATCACATGCTGAACCCAAGTAACTTGTGATAGAAAAAATGTATGAAACTTACCATCACTGTCGCCAGAGGCATCAGACTCGTCGGAAGCTTCCGAATCGTACTCGGAACCATCGTCGGAGTCCTCCTCAGTCTCCGCGTCAGTCGGCTCATACGCATCGTCTTCTTCCTCTGACGATTCATCCTATACACAATGGATAACAGATTTTAAAAATATTTTCTACTAAGAGTAGGGCACGTTAATCTACTCCAATCTCTCAAGTTTGTTTATTGGATTTTCGACTTTGTGTCAATACTATAAAGTTGAAAATGTATTGGATAAATTTGACAGAAAAGGATAGGTTGACTGTTGGCCACTATATAAGAAAGTTTCTTGTCTTAGTCCTTGGCATACACGAGAAATTATATTACACGTATCATCTAAAGCCCTAGAACAACTACTTAGTAAAACTTAATATTACTCAAAATTATAAATCGAAAGATGTGACTTACGTTTTCAGCGTTCTCCTCATCAGACTCGGGGTCCAAGAACGACCAGCCACCGTTGTCGAAAAAGCCTTCGATATCGTCGGTGATAGTTTTCATGACCTTTGTCCAGTTCAGTGATTGAATACCTTCCGAGTAGCGGATGTCACAAGAGCTGAAAAGGAAATGAGATTCGTAACATTTCTACTAGAAAATCAATTTACGGGCAAACCAGCCTGTAGTCTCATCAGTTAACAATTTATCTCATAGATTGTATAATAATTTTATTTCAAAGATTATAATAGTAACTTATATCCAACATACTACTCACTTAAGCCATTCCTTGACATGATCCAGCATGTTCATAGGCACAGCGTTCACCATGGCGACCTTTTTCGCGTAGTCTTTGAAAACGAACACCATATCGAAGTTCTTGAGGTGGAACTGCACTCTCTCGAAGTGTACGAGCTCGACATCTTCCAATGCTATGACGAATGGAGGCCATTCCGTCAGGTTGACGAGGGCTCCGGAGGTAGGTTGGAGGAGGACTGTGCTTCTGAATGGAGCACCAGGGAAACCTAATTCTCTGTGGAATAAAAAGAATTTATGTATTACTATCAAGCACGAAGTTTGGGTAATAATTTAGCGCCTTTGCAGACGATGTGATACGACGTCGTATTGTAAGCGCTTCCGATTTTCTTAATGATCATCTCTATCGCCGTAACACGGATTCATTGTTGACTTGTTTGAACATGAAATAAATTGTCTTGCTCTTATAGGACACACGTTTTACGGACACGCCTCCGATACGACGTCAGGTAGGAGATGTCTTATAGTTTTGTGGGTTTTAACACTTTTGAAGGCATATTTTAACCCTTCCTCACAATGTATACAATCTTACCTGAATGGCGTATCAAACTCGACCTCCTGCTTGGTCATGTTTTCGACTCTCTCGCAGAAGCTCTTGAAAGCGACCTTGAGCTTATGTCTGAGTTCCCTCTCACTCTGTTCAGCGGCGAGATCGTCTCTGTCGTGCATGTGTTGGTGCTTGCCCAAGTCCGTCGTGATCTCACCCACCTCCGTGTAGAATTGGACGTCAACGTGTTTCTTTTTACCTGTAGAATATATTAAAGGGTTATTTGATTGGCTCAGATAACACTTAAAAATAATCTTATTCACTTAGTTTACTTACCAAACATAATAGCATGTTTCAAATGGAAATGTAACAGTATAATCATCTCTCCATCACAAGGCTGGAAGAATGCGTTCTTAATATTATTGTACAAAATATCGACTTTGTCTCCTCTCACTGATGTGAACCTAAATCCATTAGTGTGTGCTTCTAGAGAGCCACTCATTCTCTTTGTTACGATATTAGGTCTTATGTACAGATCTTTAAGTTTCGGATTGCCTTTACTCTGTGAGAGAACCAGTGTGTCTTGTTTAACCAAATCCTCCTTTTCTCTCTCTTCAGCTTCTCTTGTTTTGAATTTTTTCTGTACTTCTTTGATAAGTCTAAAGCCAGTGTTAAGGTTGGAGGATGGAGGGGATATCTCGCCTGGTTCTTTTGTATTTGTACTTCTGTATGTTCTGTAATTAGAAAAGAGAAATACTAAGTAACAGAGACAAACATTTCTGTAGTTTTGCAGGGTGACTATGCAGTCACTGTGTGAATGCTCACAGTGACTTTCTTAGGGCAAAAAGTGTGCTGTTACAAGACAAATACTAAAATACAAAGTTGATTACAATCTGTAATTCTGTATGCAATACTTACACTTCTTTAACAAATGTGGCATCAGGTTGTGAGTAGTTTCCACCCTCGTTCCTGCCCATAGTCGCTCCAGGGTGGAAGAAGTTTATCCTAAGGTAAGTATAGTCGCCTTCAACTGACTGGGAGATGTTCTTTATCGTTGATATATGGAATGGTACGGGCACACCGAATATCGGCAATATAACTGTTTCATATTTGCGATCTACAAATAAACAATAGAACAATTTATTGTACATCTCATTTCCATTAAATTTTCTCTTTTTAATCTGTGGCTGGCCATGGTACTGCGTCATATGGATATGTCAACTGTCAAACAACTGACGTCACTACCAAAGCAAAACTAAATACTCACCAACATACAACTTGAGTTCTTTGACTTCATTCTCCCGTGGCATCTGGCTGGTGCTCTTATATGAGACAGTGCTTTTTCTTAACTTTTCCCCTTCCTTCCCGCTCGACTGTTTGGCTAACCGTTCTTTAGCCTTTTCATTGAGAGTAATGGCCAGTTCCCTTTGATGTTCCTTGCGTTTCTCCT